GTGTGTATGAGAAAATCCCTACCATTAGAGCAAGTCCACCCATGAAGGCTAAGGCAAGGCTAAGGCAAGGCAAGGGCTGCCACTATTCATGTGAATAGTGGCAGCCTTGCTTTAGTTGGTTCCACCCTTGGAAGGCTAGGGCAATGGCAAGAAAAAAAAAAGATTATGCAACAAAATATAAAAAAATTTAGAAAGTGAATAAAATTGTTATGTATTTATAGGGAAAACATCCTTAATATTTTGGTTTTTAAAAAAAAAAAATTGAATTTTTTAGAAATTTTTTTGAATTTTTTTGCTCGCTAACGTCAGCGTGACATCAGCGCCTTCGGGCTTGAGCCCAGGCAAGATTTGCCCGTGGGCTTGCCCAGGCTGGTGGGTCCCATGCCTTGCCCGGGTTGGATCTCTCCCGCCGGACTCGTTTTTTGCTTGCCTGGGGGGCCTTTAGCCCGGTTTGGCTCTATGGCTGGACTTGCTCTTATAGTTTAGACTATCCCTTGTATTAAAAAAAAACAATTAAGATAATTATTTCACATATTTTACTGGACATTTGTTTAAAATATCTTAGATGCTTGCAAGGAAAATCAAATAATCACTCCAAGAGATATGGTGGTGCAATCATCACTTTCCCCCGTTCCCATCTTAGTGATGGACAAAAGAGATGGTTGTCCAACATCTCCATGTAGCTATCCGTTGCAGGAGCTTCCCCCCTATGACAAAGGTCCATTCTATTTTCCTCCATTCCTCTTCTCAAGGCTGTAAAATAGTGAGGTTTGAGCTAAGCAAACCATTAAAATCTTATGCTAGGTTATCTATATGGCTTTCTTGTCTGGATTTGTTTAGTTTGACAGAGCTGTAACGGGATGGTGCCAAAGATGGTTGTTTTTGTAACCAACTGTCAAAAGGAAGTGTGAGCATGGTTTTTTCTTTCATGCCTACCCATGTGGCTGAACCCAATTCCTAGGATTTTGGTGCTTCCAAGCAACCCAATGGGCCTTGTAAATCTTTGTACCCACCCATGCCACAACCCATTTAATAAGCCCTATAAATTTGTGTGGGTTAGGTCCATTTGAACTTACACTACAAGAAAAACGCTTATTAGTAGCTAGCAAATTGGTCACAATAAGTATCGATTTTGGTTACTGAATACAACTAGTGTCCAAATATTGGTGGTCACGGGTCACTAAAAGCACGTCACAAATTCTATTTAGTGACCAACTACAAGTATTTGTCACTACAACCCAAAGAATTAGTGATTTCCTTTGTTTGGTCACTAACGAAAAGCTATTAGTGACTACAACTTTGATCACTAAAGGGCTCACAATTTGGTCATTAAAACACGTATTTTGGTCACTAAAAGTGGGTCACGTGACTAAATTACTGACCTACTTAGTTAGTCACTAATGTATTTGAAAAATTGGTAACTAATTGGTTTATTTTCCTTGTTCTTTGTTGTGTAACAATATATGAAATAACATCTAATTCTTTTAGATACGTAGTGCTGTGGAAACAATTTTGATATTAAAAAAATCAGTCCCGTTCTCTTGGACCCTTGTGGTCCAAGAGACTTGTGGTCACCCACCATTAGATTTAATCCAAGGGCTGAGAAAAATTTACTTTAAAATATCTTTTTTCTTTTACCTTTTAAATTTCACTTAACAAAAAAGGAAAAAACTAGAAATTAAAGACCCAAAATCTGTTCTTCTTCCTCACGCTGCCTGCCCCCACGTTCTGCTTCCTCCCATTGCTGCAGCCACGACAACTCCGACTCCGGCGTAGCGAGCGAAAATCCAAAGCGACTCATTCTCTGTTACCAGGTCTTTATTTTCTGCCAATCACAACAAAACCTGTAAGTGCTTGGTTTGAATTGGTTGAATTCCTATAACTAGATAATATGATAAACAATTGCCTAGAATTGGTTGAATTAGGTTAATTTGAAGGTCATTTATAGTTGAAATCATGAACCCATATTTGAGAATTTCAATTGGATTTGTGTTATTTTTTATTTCAGAACTACTGGAACAAACATGAATCTCAATCTGGGGTTCTTGCAACTGAGGTTCTTCTATTCGAGTTTTTCCTTTGTCAAACATGAATCTTATTCTGGGGTTCTTGCAACTATGCTGTTTGTTATTGATTAAATGTGAAAATCTGTTTTCTTTTTCTTTTTCTTTTTCCAGACCTTCATTTATTTATTTCTTCCATTCGAGTTTTTCCTTTGTTTATTACATATGTTTGTACTAATTTTCTTATGATACATTTAAGTGCATGAGTGATGGCAAATGCATTAGATGAATGGATGTCTTCTAAAGATGAATTTTATATCCCTCAAGTGAGAGATGATAAAAAACCGAAAGCATGGCTAACATTCAAGTCATTGGATGAAACATATGAGTTCTACAATGATTACGCAAAGGATGCTAGATTTAGTGTCAGAATTAGTAAGGAGAAGAAAAAGAAAGAAACTGGTGAGGTTGTTTGGAAACGATACGTTTGTTTTAAGGAAGGTGAAACAGATGAGACGTGGAGAAAAAAAAAAAGATAGTAAGTCTACACAAATAGAAAGAGAATGAGGTAATGTTCGTGAAAATTGCAAAGCAAAGTTAACAGTAGTTTATGATGGGTTCAATTTTGTAGTTAAGACTTTCATTGAGGAACATACACATCCACTTGCAACACCATCTAGAGTACACTTGTTAAGATCTCATCGTGGTGTATCAGATACAAAAATTAAGTTGGTAAAAAAGTTTTCCAATGTGAACATTCCATTATATCAACAATTCGAACTGTTGGAGACGCAAGCTGGGGGACATGAAAGTGTTGGGTTTATAGAAAGAGATTTAAGAAATTTTGAGAGAGATGAAAGGGAGAAAATAAATTGTCATGATGCAGAAATGTTATATGAGTACTTCAAATCGGAGGAAGATAAAGTTTGAGACAGATAATAATAATAGGATGACTAGATGTTTCTGGGTTGACTCTGTTGCAAGGAAAGCTTACACACATTTTGGTGATGTGGTTGTATTTGATACAACCTACAATACAAATCGTTATGCAATGATATTTGCTCCTCTTGTAGGTGTTAACCACCATGAGCAAACTACCATTTTTGGTTGTGGATTCTTGAGTAATGAGACTTTTGACTCATTTGTTTGGCTATTAGAAACATGGTTAGAAGCAATGAAAATTCCCCCTATAGTTATAATCACTGATCAAGATCAAGCAATGACTAAGGCTATAGCTCAAGTTTTGCCAAACACGTTCAACAGATATTGCGTGTGGCATATTTTGAACAAATTTCAAGAAAAGATGTGTTATTTTGCTCATCATAATTACTATGCACTTTTCAAGACAACCATATGGGAATCTGAGACTGTAGAAGAATTTGAAAAGAGTTGGTATGAAGCTTTGGAGATAAGTCAGCCAAGTAGTAAGGACTGGTTCGAAGAAATGTATAAATTACGTGGTACATGGATTCCTGCCTATGTCAAGCAATACTTTTCTGCAGGGATGTCTAGCAGTCAAAGAGCAGAATCCATGCATGCATTCTTCAAG